CTAACGCCTTTTCGGCATTCGGTCCTGGGTGAACATGTTTTCATATGGCACTATCTGGAGCATGCTGTTCAGCAATGAGTAGGACTTGCGCCCAGAAAGGTAATCATTTTTTGCCGTTGTATTGGCAAAGCTGGTCAGACAACGTAGATTCATGTACATCGATGCATACCTCCCGTTCGCGATCGGGTTTCGGACCACTTTGGCCCATGAATCTTTTCCAATGGATACGCTGAGTTGGGAGTTACCATTCTTCGCCTATGGCGATAGGTCAGACCATAGCTTCGTCGGCATGTCTCTAGTGTAGATAGAATATCGTGCAAGAGATTGCGCACCTCAGGAAGACTTTCTTAACGACTTCCAACTTCACCTAGAGAATAATGGCCTTCAATGATCGCTCACGGGGTCCTCACTGAATGCGCGACTATCCGCAGCGCAGAGAATAATACCTCGAGACAGCAGTGACCGATTTCAATTGACCACGTCGCAGTCAATTGAACAAGTAACCGAAACCCTCGAAATTGGCAGCAGAGGAGCGCGTGAGGCCTGCGACCGTGACAACGCCGATGTTACCGAAGATGACACCTTGTGATTGTCATCGTCCGCGTGGAGAAAAGTTCTATCGTCCCGCATTCTGCAGAAGAAAGGTGCCGTATCTCCGTGTCGCGTTGGAGTAGAATTGGGGTTTCCCCGCGTGCACAAGAATCTGGGAAAAAATTCCCGGGAATAGAAGGCAAAAAAGGTGCCGCTGGGGGGAAGAAAAGGATCCACTCTCATCTCGTCTTATGTTTGGCGCCGGTCGATCAGGTCACGGTGGGTCATTGATCGGGCTGGTTACTGTTACCCCATGGGATTAATTCACAATCTCATCTCTTGTAGAAATCATGTCGCCGAGAACTCCTTGAATCTCACGGTAACTAATGTATTCATCTTGTGCCGAGTGGAATGGATGCTTATGTCGGACTCCACAACTTGAGTGATTTTTCCTGGCGATAGCTCGGACAACGCTCGGCGGCTAGGACTTCTTGCGTCGGATTACTATTATTAAGGCCTAAACAATATAGTACTAGTCAGTGACAAATGTCAAAGGGAGACATGATTAGCCACAGGACGCTGGTTGCAGGGCATTCTTGCGTCGCAGACGGTAAGGTAGTGTGAGTTGACATTGTGGACGTTGTACATCCGTATTCGAGGTGTAGCTGTGGATGATTCTCTCTCGCGCTCTAGATTTATTGGAATATTTATAACAATCGACCTTCTTTTCTCCTTCGGTGGTGTAGGCGCTGTGGATGTACGTAGGTTAATGGCGGCGTGTGCTGGGTATTATTTGCTAGAAGACAAGCCACACCATAATCTATCGACAATGTAGCAGGAGTAGTTGATGCGACCGTTAACTATGAAACCTTTCCCTGGAGGCCAATTAGAGGACTTAGGTGGCCATTGGCTGGTTAGTATTTCCCAAATCGGGGCACGAATCTCGCGAACGTGGATCCGCTTGGCGATTTCCTGGATCCAAAGAACGTCAATGTGCCGTAACCGCCGCAACAAGAACGTGGTGTTGCAATGTGTTCAATTCAATAATCAATTCTAGGAGGGTTCGGAGCGATCAAACATAAGCAGTTTTTACTACGGGAATAATTACTCGTCTAAGGATGTGATTCCATATTATGATCAGGCGAAACACCGCCTCTCAAGGGGTATGTGGAGTGGAGACCGATGCAGGTGCGGAGTTAAAAGACACGTTCAAAGACGATTCGAAACGTTTCCCCTCATGAGGGGAAGCTGGAATGAACCGCCTCCGCAAGAAGTTTGTTACTCCTCCAAAGCTGCTTGCTTGTCTAGACCAGTGGGCATACAGAAGTTAGGGTGCGGTCTGATCTCATGATATCCGAGATATGTCCGTCTATCCAAACCCCCCTCCTCCCTCCCCTCCCTTCCCCTCGTAGCGTTTCCTTTAAATATAATAGAAGTCCTCACACATCCCAGGAATTCTTTTTCTCCATAATCCAGTCATTCAATTAACACTCTAATAATCATCACAATTCAAAAGCATCACTTCACAATGCCTTTTGCTCGTTCTGTTTCTCGTTTGGTCTCGCCGGCTTTGAAGGCTAGCCCTCTCAGCCGGGCCACCCGCACTTTCTCCAGCTCATCGAGCGCTCAGGCCAAGGTTCTTATGGTCCTCTATGAGGTTCGTCGCATATTCACCACGCCTTCCTTCCTGTCAATTGTCTTCCGAGCACGCTAACATTGCCTTTACTTCTAGGGCAAGGAACACGCCAAGCAACAACCTCGTCTTCTCGGTACCGTTGAGAATGAGCTCGGCATCCGCAAGTGGCTTGAAGACCAGGGCCACACCCTGGTGACCACCTCGGACAAGGAAGGCCCCAACTCCACGTTTGAGAAGGAGCTTGTCGATGCCGAAGTTATCATTACCACTCCGTACGTGACTTTGCCCCATTCCCGACCGAGACTTAAGCTAATGGACCCACCACAGCTTCCACCCCGGTTATCTCACTGCCGAGCGCCTCGCCAAGGCCAAGAACTTAAAGATCGCCGTCACCGCCGGTATTGGCTCCGATCACGTCGATCTGAACGCCGCCAACAAGACCAACGGTGGTATCACCGTCGCTGAGGTTACTGGCTCCAACGTCGTGTCCGTGGCCGAGCATGTTATGATGACTATCCTGACCCTCGTTCGCAACTTTGTTCCCGCCCATGACCAGATCCGCAATGGCGAGTGGGATGTTGCTGCTGTTGCCAAGAACGAATTCGACCTTGAGGACAAGGTGGTGGGAACTGTCGGTGTTGGCCGCATTGGCGAGCGTGTCCTTCGCCGTTTGAAGCCCTTCGACTGCAAAGAGCTCCTCTACTACGACTACCAGGGACTGAGCCCTGAGGCTGAGAAGGAAATCGGCTGCCGCCGTGTTGAGGACCTTGCCGACATGGTTTCCCAGTGTGACATTGTCACTATTAACTGCCCTCTCCACGAAAGCACCAAGGGTCTCTTCAACAAGGAGCTCATTGCTAAGATGAAGCCTGGCTCTTGGCTCGTGAACACGGCCCGTGGTGCCATTGTGGTCAAGGAAGATGTCGCCGAGGCCCTCAAGTCTGGCCATCTCCGTGGATATGGTGGAGATGTCTGGTTCCCTCAGCCAGCTCCCAAGGATCACCCTCTCCGCTACGCCGAGCACCCATGGGGCGGCGGTAACGCCATGGTTCCTCACATGTCCGGTACTTCCATCGATGCTCAGGTCCGCTACGCCGAGGGCACCAAGAAGATCTTGGACAGCTACTTCTCCGGCCGTGAGGACTACCGCCCTGAGGACCTGATCGTCCACAAGGGTGATTACGCCACCAAGGCCTACGGTCAGCGCAAGTAAATGCTCTTACCATAACATCGTCGACCTTTTAGCGTGTGTGTCATTTCGTTCCCAGGTGTTTTTTCCTTTCTCTTCTTGGCGTTCTTTCTTATTTTTGCATCTTACCGGGCATCAATGATTTATGATATGGCCGTGTAACAAGTACAAAACTAGAATACCAAATTATGATTCTAAATATTTTATCATTCCTGTTCAGTTCCATTCCACATTAACCTGCGGAGCTCGCGGATTACAAGACGAGCCAAGCAAATCACGAAAAATACAAATACTCTTTCAGGTTAAAGTAATTGACCAATGAAAAGGCTACGCCCATGTCTTTGCCAACGATGCCGATCAAGCGTTGAGGACCCATTGTACGGAGTTGCTGTCAAAATCTTAAGTAATTTTCAGGGCTTAAGAGACAAAACATCTATACATTGTTAGGCATTTTAAGAGAGCTATCGTGAAAAGTGAAGAGTTCAAGGTGTATCTGGTAAACTTCCTGTCAAGCAGTGATTGAAACACATTTAAGTGAATATAACCATGGAAGTAGCTCCCGTCAATATCAACTAAAGAACGCACTGGCTTCGTTTAACCACAAGGGTGTCCCGCGACGTTTCATGAGTACTCATGGCTTCAAACCCGAGAAGCCCGGCTTTCGGATTGTATGGACCGTGAACAATTAGCTAACATAGCCTCGTATAGGAGGAATTTGAACAGGATGATAGCTCCGCGGAACCATCGCATACCCTCTCTAAAACAACAATGCACAAACTAAAGTGAGCGAATCATGATGAGGGGTTCGATTAACCTGGAGTATTTATACACCCCCCGGTAGTGGATCGTAGGGTTTGTTGTGGGGAAGTAATGTGTAGAGTATATAGCCCAGCGGGAGTTCCAGTATTGCAGGTGGACCAGGTGGGTCTAGAACTTTATGGAGCATATCATACGCCATGGCACATGTTGGCATCATCCGATTGGGGATAAATCATGAATTGTTTTGTCCGGCAACATAGAATGTCAAAGCCACGTTATTTGGCCGAAGTCATGATATGGCAAGCCTTACTGAGGATGAGGTGGATTGTTGGTTTGCTGGATATTCTGCCAAGTCTCATTTTGATAGTAGTCGCTGGAGATGCCTAGAGCACGTTTACCATGTAAGCATCGGTGCTCATATGATATAAACTTTAATATTCATTGTGTAAGTCTGCTTGAGTATGAAGTGAACATGGTCATGTGAACTCATCTGTGATATGTAACCGTAGATCGAATATCATGTTATCTGGCATTGATCCTTGTTTACCTAAGTCTCCTCGCCAGTCATTTTGATTAACCCTGTGTAATTGATATTAATTGGTAAGAACTCGACAAGTGGCCTTGCCTTTCGTCCTTCTGCTTTTTCCTTTCCCCCCCCCCCCCGCCCTTTGCCCCTTTCTCTATATCTCTGTTGGAAATAGAAAATTGAACTCGGATGAGTCGGACAAACGGCTCGTTAGTAGCAGTTGTCTCCGCTTGAGGCAAATTTGTCGGTGCAGTGCCTGGTCAACACAGCCGATTGGCACATTCAACGGTAATTCCTTAGTTTTGACTTTGGCAGCCATGTCAATGCATCATATTACTATTACATTCCTTTAACCATGGGCTGCACATTGGGGAGATGTTCTATTTATTACGTCACGAGTGAAGTTGCGAGGTATAAGAATCAGATCTTTGACAGCGATAGTGAAGAACGTGCAGTCTCGCACAAGAAGCCGCGACTTTACTACTAGCATCTTAAGCATCGAGTACAATGGGCTCTATCATTCCTTTTCTCACCGAGGGCCAACTACGGTTTTTCCTCCTATCTAATCGAGTAATCCAGTGGCTAAGTTCCGTCATTGTCCTTGGAATCACATCCTACTTCATCCACAGAGGCCCTCGCGGGCTAACAATTGTTTACCTAGAGATTGTGGTAAGTTTGATTTCAACACGTCAAGAACCATGCCCTACTTACATGTCACATAGGCTGTGGTCTCCGTGGTGGTGTTCTTGCCCGCTTTTGTGTCCCCATTCCTGAGCACACCAGTGAAGGACTTTGTCCTTTTCGTTGATGTGATCTTCTCATATCTGTAAGCAGCCTTTTGCAATGTTCAACATTATCAACAGGGATAACGAATTACCTTAGATGGCTCACAGGGTTCATCTTTGCTGCTGTTGATTACAACCAGAACAACTGCCATGCCAATGCACCGCCGGGTGTTAGATGCTCGGTGAAGTGGGCTAACGAAGCCTTCATCTTTTTAACCTTGTATGTATAGAGCAAGTCCATTCGAACACAAGCCCCTTGTCTAATTGTTAAAACCAGCATTTTTACCTTTTTTGCTCTGTTTCTGGAGACACTTGCACTTTGGTTGTCCCGCCGGAGTCAAAATGCCCCATCCCCACAGAATGAGAAACATGATCCAAGGGCTTCCGTACACAGCGATGCCAGACTGCCGGGTGATAACAACATGCAAGAACCCACCGCCACGCCTGCTCAGGTCGTTTGAGGTTTGAATTCTGCTTAGTTTCAAATACTATCAAACGGAGCACCACAGGAAATGTCAGGGTCCTATACGTATATTGAACTTGTTTCTATGTTTCTTATTGTTTATTTGGCTTCGTGTTCCATCCGCTCACTTTTATTTCGCAAAGATTAGTACACGAGACAAGGCAGTGGGTTAATGATGTATTGTAATATAATCTAGCCATTGTGTCTATCAAAACAAATAACACCTCTAATCCTGTCCTGACTATATGAATAACAACTAAACTATCCTCGGCGAGGTTCAAGACTCCAACCAGTATTAAAATAAAATGCAATGAACCACGTACATATTGTGCTTTCTTTGAATGCCCAGATAGCCCTCTTCTCGAACGAGGATGGATCCGATAAGGTACAGTCAGACTGGATCGAGCGAGCTATGCCGTAGAGTTTTCCATAGTACGGCTTTGATCGGATGCTCCACATCTGTCGATTTACCTTCCACCAACGAAGCTCTATGCAGCTGCTCCAGGAAATATCTCATTACTCGTTTTAGTAATACTATAGCCGAATCGTACCTTGGATCGCTGCCCCCGCTTCAAAAACTAATTACGTCGGCTTCCGGCTAGGCCTGAACACAACCCAGTCAATGGTAAATAGAGCGACTTGAGTTGGCAGGAAACGCTCTAACTAGGAAATGTTCAGAAGCCCAGTTCTGAAATAGGTTGCTATGGTACAAGGTTGGACAAATCGATCCTATCTCCCCGCATTTGTTGCCCTATCTGGAGATTGAGCCCCCTAAGCTTCGTCATGATTTACCGGAGGCTTGGCAGAGGGCAGAAGCTACAACCTGAGGGTACGTCAGCCCAGGCGGGTCTACGGCTGTTCTACCATCATGGGGCAAAAGTTTAAATAGATCAAGAATAAAATGACACATCTCACCTTCAGTTCAGGACCTTCGATGTAGTAAAACTACAACGACTGCAACGCTATCAAAGCCATAGAACTACAATATTCGAAGACATCGCACTCCACTAATATGATGGATAAAGCGGTGCTAACCCGTTCCAAGGACTCCGATGACTCAGAAAAAGGTACGTGATGCTCGCTGTAAGCCCACAACGAAACTAAACCTTCTACATAATACTTCTGTCCTCCTGAAACATGCGAAATCTGTTTCGAAGACATGAAACTGAGCTCAAGATTCCGCCGCCTGCCTTGCAACCATATCTTTCACAAACCATGTATTGACTCGTGGATGCGTTGTTGCGGCACCACTTGCCCTTTGTGTCGCCATCAATTTGACCTGGATCACGCGGTTGTTCTTACGAGGTTTGATAATCCACGATTCAAGGGCAAAAGGCATTTCAACCCTAGGAAGCCCTGGGGTTTAATTGGCATTTGGTGGGGAAGGTGGCATAACGGACTCTGAGCTTGCTGGGGAGATTGCCGGGCATGATCTAGGTATGTGGATGGGTTGGGAAGACATTCTACTCCTATTTCAGTTATCAGTGAATCCATTTCTTGATCGTGAGCCTTCCTGGCCATCACATACTATCATGTCTTTGCGATATCCCAATAGGCTCAGGAGCTACAACTGCACCATAGATGGATTTCAATTCCATGAAATCCCAAGCCCCTTTGAAGGTTTGTCGAACATTCTACTACCTCCCTGCGATTTATACCTGATTGGTGTCCTGTCATTTGAATAACATCATACAACATGATGTCGTTTCTCCATACACATCCTCGTCAATAGTGAATAGAGTAAACGTCAGTGTTTCCATAGAGCACCCTCTTAATTCTTGTCTGTGCCGTGATAAGCAAGGCTTTGGACTTATACACGCCTATTATCCAAGCAAAAGAATGCAGCAAGATTGAGGGAAGACAGTGGCTACTGGCTTAATACTGCATATATGTGCACGTGACTTTTGTTTGACACCTGAGTTCCTTATACCATAATGTGGAGTATTGGGCGTGATATTTGAGGTGTCAAGCCTTGGCGATCATGTACACGTGTAAATCCTAACATCTGTTCCTGCCTATGTTGATTACTTTTATGATTTCTGAGAGATTCACAATAGCTGCTGGCTCAGCTTCTCTCGGGGGGCGGATAAATAGTTTCCAAACTTCGGCAAGCCTCTTACGCATTGCATGGCCAAGATAGTTCTCAGAAACCTACCAAAATTCGTTGAACTTTCTGTTCTGCTCGGACCAATCTCGCAGAATGGTTACTAGGGGTCTATGGAATCTGCATGTTGATGGTGAGCATAGAAAAGCTGATTCGGTACCTATGCTACAAGATTAACGCCGATCGTAGGAAAATGGTACCGTTCGCTTCACCCCCCACGGGGGCGTATCACCTCTCCAGACGCACCTGCTACCTTGTAAACAATCAGAAAGATAATTGGAGAGTCTAGTATCAGTAACTGGGAGCCAGTACCATTTCCTACCCCGCTTCATATCGAACTTGACTATGTATACAACATCGATAAGGATTTGAGAATATTAACGATTATCCAATGGAGCGGAGCAGATGATGTCCTGTTACGCCTGGTTAGAAAGGCAAAGCTGTGTGAAATCGAAAATTGTTCACTCACTACCGTTGAGGCTGTTCTTCAGAATATGGAGAATTTCCTCGAGGGGCACAGCGCACAGGATGACAAAGCTCAGTCCTCTGCAGCACTGGATGTAGACATCAGTACACTGACACCTTTAAACGAGCTTCAGTTCCGGTCATTTACGGACTTTGCCTTCCTATGGAAGTTCTATTTTGATGATGTTGTATCTTGGGTACGCGAACCTCTGCTGAACACCCTTGCCATTGGGATTCTGCGTATTGCCGCATGGGACTTTGAGATATTACTCGACACAGATACCGGCGAAACCCCAATTAAATTTTATTCTGCTCCAGGCTGGCCTGCTCCTTCGCAGGACATATTCTGGTTTCATGGATTTCTTGTCACTCTCTACAATGCCACTGATGCGGTTGACCACGCTATCCTGAAGGCCAAAGCATTTTTGGATAAGAGTCAACGCGCGGGACACCATGCTAGTGTGATCCTTATCCCTTTAAGCCATGTTACGCTCGTTGAGATATCTGGTACATGTGTGCAGCGCTCCCCAGCAATACCGCTGATTGTGAACTCATTTGCAATGCATCCTTCACCTGGATTTCGAGTTCTTGCCTCTATTTTATCGTCTGACTCTTGGAAGTTACCTCGTGCTCATACAGAAACCTGGGAGATAAACCTACCTCTTGAAGTATTTGATAGGATACTTGAGCCCTTCCCCCTAAAGATATTATATCATTTACCCAAGCATCTTTCGCTGTGGAAACATGGTACTACTTATCTCTGCCTGAGCTTAATGGCCTTCATCTGCGAAACCGTGGTTTCTCAATACCATGCTGCGGGGAACAACCCCAGTCTAATAGATATGGTGTTCACCGCTCACTCTGTTATGCATGGTTTCGTAAGAAGTGTATTGTTCAAGCCTCTGACACACTGGAGAATATATATAGATGTTCTAAATGCCGACAGAATAAAACTTACACCATTCTGGAATCAGGTGGGATTTACGGGGAATACCGGAAAAAAAAGTCCAGGCCAAGATGCAAAGTTGCTATTAATGGTATGGCAAAAACACTTCACTTACGCCTGGGCAAGCCTGCACTCCGTCGGCCAGAGTTATGGCTTATCAGGGGCATGTCTGTTCCTCCCAAGACCATAAATTACACGATCTATTTTAATGACGTTTTCTCTGGGCTAGCACATGGTCTTGATGAATAGTGCAACATGGGTACAATAATCCATCTCTACCTACCTATACTGCAAACAACAGGGAAGAAGCCGCTGAACCTCCAACTGAAAAGCCTGTGAGTGCCTTGCATAGACAAAGGGAATCACACTTTCATTACTGACGGCGTTGAGGTGGAGCTTCTCGGGTTTCATGCACTCGTGACGACCCGTTATACCCAGGGTCAGAAGAGGTACGCGAATACCCCCAACCGAAGCATGGGGTACTGTTTAGCTCGAGACATAGTGAATCCCCTATATGTTGCCTGACTTGATATTGAATTTGTCGGTGACTCGGATGGCAAAGGTAGATCAAAATCGACGGATGATGGTCTTCAAGGCCCCGATCTGCCAGTTCAGGGCTCATCGTCACCAAACATTCCTTTGCGAGCCTCGAGTGACTTCAGGCGCTTCTGTGAGTACGGCAGGATGCGGTTGATGTGTGCCACGACGCCGTCTTGGAAGTGTTGTTTGAATTGAGTGGTGTAGTAACCCTGGGTATTATTGTTGAGCCGATTGGTAGAATTATAGTCTAAGTAAAAATCAAGGAAAGGAAGGTATTAGGAGAGGTCATGAGGCTAAATTATAGCGACACTCATTACTATTCTTGTAGGAGGATCTAGTGATTCAGGATTCATGGTTTACGTATATAACTAAGATTGAAGTAGCCCCTTAGCTAGTAAACCGCCTATATATACACTCTATTGTGATATTATCGTTTTTCTCTATCCGGGGTGTCAATCCACCAGATTGGACGTTGAGAGCGCTCGATAAGTTCAATAGTCACACGAGTAAAGCTATTCTTATTTTCGTAAGGGAAACATATGACCAGAATTTATCAAGATTGTTATCTTGTGATATTCACGGCTTTGGGAGTACTTGGCGATATTGGAACACATGGGGTGAGGACTAGATGATATGTCGAGAATAAATTATGACTGGGAGCCACGTATAGTGAGCTTCGAATATGTTTCGAGCCTCTTTTCAGTCTTCCCCAGATAATCCCATTAAAAGTCTTGAATCCCTGGACTTGTATTTTCGGCTAGGAGTAAGAAAGCTTGAACCCCCCAGGAACCCCGGTCTGAAAGAGACCTTGTGGATCATATCTTTTGCTCACTGACTTGAGGTATGCATTGCTTCTAGGTCCATAGCTCGCAATAACAGCCTGTGAGCCGTCTGCATAGTTCAAATATTTAAAAGGGCGGTAGACACCAGCAGCTTTCGTGGCGGCGTCAATTGAGGCAAATAGCTTCTTGACTGCCGCAGACACGCTATCGTCATCTGCTGCATTGGTGTACCATGCCGTTATCATAGCAATGCAAAGTCTTTTATCTGCTGGATTCAAGCCTAGGCTGTTGGTGTTGTTGAGCGCTGGTGTAGGCTGCAAGGTGAAATACCAGTTGATGCCATCAATGTCGGATATTCCCGCAAGAGAGCTGTTCCAGAGAGAATATATTGTAGAGTAGACTTTTGGGCTGTGGGCAAATGTTGTCGTATACCAGATTTGTCTACCCAAGTAGAGGTCAATTTAAACTCCCAATATATTGGCAAAGAAGTATACTAACCGCTGATTGTAAGATTGGTAACTGTCCGTTTCATTCGCAAATGAGGCCATGGTGTCAATTCGGAGATCATTCGATATGGTGGTGGTGTTGTCTACAAAGTCTGTGAATACCGCGGGGTATGTCACAGGCTTAGTGTATGCTAATCCATTGCTGATGATCGATACTCCAGCAGTAAAGCCATATGTTTGAATCATTGCAGCGTGGGGATCGTAAGGTTCCACTCCCATGAATCGAGAGAAGGCATCCACCTGCTGTGTAGCAGCCGTGGATTCATACGCAATAAAGCCACCCCAGAACTTCCCCAGGGGGTATGTCTTCATGGTGAAAGAGGTAACAATTCCGAAGTTGTTGGAACCACCTTTTAGCGCCATGAAAAGATCGGGGTATGCCTGCTCATTCACGGTGACAATCCTGCCGGAGGCTAAGACAAGCTCATATTCCACCACATTGTCACAGGCCCAGCCTAACAGCGGTCCTAAGTAACTCAATCCACCCCCCAGCATATAACCTCCAACCCCGACGTCTGAATCTCTCCCTCCCGTGATGGAAAGTTTCAGCGGATCTAGCACTTGCCATACCTGAAAAAAGCGCGCGCCGGGTCCAATACTAACAGTCTTTTGGTCTGGACTAACATCGACCTTACTCAAAAGACCAAGATCAATGGTCACGCCGTGGTTTATATTAGCAGCTCCCGAAAATGAGGTGTGGCCACCACCACGGACGGCAACCTGAACCCCTTGCTTGAGGAATCCACGCATTATTGACACAGTCTTGGCCACATCCGAGGATGTTTTGGGCTGCACAATACATGAAGGTGAAAGTTCTTGTTCTTGAAGACTGAAGTAGGAGGCTAATGAGTTTGAGTAATCCGAAGAGCCTGAGTAATAGACCTCGCCAGGTAGTTCCTGGGATATTCGAGAGCATGCGAGCTGGGACACATTATGTGATGATGATGCCCCTTTGAACAGCAAAAGAATGCAAAAGATCGAGTTGATTCGGGCCAACATGACGGAAATGAATCGACGTAAGTTTCACTTCAAGCTAGTCCGCGGCCAGTTTAAGAGCCTTCCCGGTTAAATGGTCTGTTGAAAGTGACGGTTGCCTCTGCCGTATTTATATTTGTATCAGGAAGTTCCCCGTCACGCACGGAGCGTTTGGGTAACTCGTAACCTCCCTATCTAGCCAATGGGGGCCAAATTCCACTGATTAGTTGTTGGCATTTTCCACGCGAACTAGCGTATGCAGATGGCAGGGGTATGAGTACTCTTCGGTGGATCCCATTGCTCGTATATGTACCTGAGCAAAGGATTAACTCCATAGTCTTCTTAGAATATGCGATCCTGTTACGACCTAACAAGGGGAATGGGCCACTAGTTTGAGTTTCACTTATTCCATGGTTGAGTCCGAGTTGTACGGTCGGATTACTCGGGGTTTAGGTCTACGTGGTTTTCGCTTTGCGAACGTGCAGAACAAACTAGTGTCAACTAATAAGTATTTCCGCGGGAACATGTGTTTATTGCGTATCCAGTCTCGGGCGCCATTTGTCGAGAATCTCTTTCCAACCTTGATTCCAGTCCAAGGACGTTTAGGCGAAGTGGAAAGATTGGGCTTATGAGAGTTTTATCACACTAGCACTCGAGGAGTGAGGCGAATCGTGATGTCTTCCTGCTCGCCTGGGGCTGTGACGCCTACAACTGGCTTGGAATAATCAGGTTGTGGGAACCGGGGCTTCTTCACCTCATGGGCTTTACCTCCTCCAGAGCTCCCGGCCTCTTCAGTCGCTAGGGTAAGATCATAGCGGCTCAGCAGCATCGCGATAAAGGAGAAAGTAGTTTCTCGGGCATACTGTCGGCCAGGACAGAGGCCACTTCCACCCCCAAAGGGACGATAGCTAAGACTCGACTTTAACGATGTCTTGTTTAGGAACCGATCGGCTTGAAAACCGTCGGCATTGGCTCCCCAGGCATCCTTGTTAAGGTGAAGCTGGTGGTAAGAGATCTGTGAGACACCATTTAGCACAAGTAGACTTACTTTTCTCTAATGATTAGAGATACTCTTACCATAACATTATTACCCTTGCGAAATGTTGAACCCCCAATAACGGTATCATCAGTTATATGTCGGACGAGTGGCATACTCACAGAAATGCGGAGAACCTCTGCCAATAAGGAATCAAGACGCGGACACTCTTTATTGAGGCAATGGTGATGAACACGATCACCACTGATGGCTGGCGTAATTTCCTCTCGGATTGCTTCGAGGAGCTTTCTGTCATACACAATATATGAAACCATCCAAAAGGCCGTTTTATACAAGTTTCCCAAAACACTATACAAAGTTAGGGGTGGTCCATCTCAGTTCGTCGGGAATACTCACGCCCAAGTCTGCAACATCATCGCTCGACCAAGGTCTTCCGTGCTCATTCCCCCTTCGATCAAAATATCTTCTGTCTCCAATATCCAAGCACTTGCACCAGGTCGTTTAGCAGGAGGCAAAGAGAAATATTTCACAAATAGATCAATCATTACCTCCTTTGCTTGAATCATGTCCTTGCTCAGAAACCCAGGAATCCCGAACAGATATTTCCAATTCACCCTCTCCCAGAGCATATACCAATGAACAAAATCTGGTTGGAGCTCCCAGAGAGTCGGTCCGTAAAACGACTCAACTACACCTCGTACCATCGCCTCGATACATAGCAGCTTGAGAGAAAGGACCCTTGTTCCATCTTCAAGCTCCTGGGGTGCAGCAAAATCCTGCCATTTGAGATCAATTGCTTGTCGCACAAGAGGGATAGTGCTATTGTCTAAAAGTCGATCTAGTAACTCGCTTGGGGCTAGATGCTGGCGGAGAGACTCCAGCATAAGACCCACAGGTGGTAGAGGTCGAGGATGCAGTTTATTGTGGGATGCAGATGTATTGACTTTGAATAGCTTATCGACCGCCTCAGAGCTCATACCCGATTGATTGTGAATAATTCGGGTAATACGCTCACTCGACAGGGTCTTCTCATTTCGGTAGATCTCTGCTACATGCTTAGGGTCTGTGATGACGTAAAATTTATCCCCTGCTACTGTGATGGCAAAGGGACGCCTGGATTTGCCAAAGCGCTCACTAAGCCCAAAAGCAGTTAGCCAAACTCAAGCAAGATGTCTCTCAGCACTAAAGGTTATGGGAGGGAGGGGGGAGGGAGGGTTGGGGCCAATTCTCACATCATGCTAGCCAGTGTCCGATTAAAGTCAAGCGCCATGGGGATTGTATGTCCTGGACTAATATTAGTATGCGTGGGCCTATTGTTGTAAAGTAGAGCCCGTCCTTCGGTGTATTTATGGAGGCTTGTATCTTACCAAGATCTGCTCCACCAATCATGTTCATGTTAGCGATGCTTATGGGCCGAAACTTGAATGCGTATTTCAGAATATAAGGTTTTGTGTTTGTGTATACTCACACGGAATCAAATAAGGGGCCTCTTTGGGATCGTATGGGTATATTTTAGGTACGACGGAGAATCTCCAAATTCTCCAGCCGAGATATAGAGCGGACGTAACAAAGAAGACGGTTAGGAACATGTTGCCGAAAATGTGGTTGAGAACCAATCCCAATGGATTTCCCAAGGAGATCATTTAACGCAGAGAATGTGGAAGCTGTATCTAATCTGCCCCCTCCGAGATTACCCAACTTCATTTAATATGACTGAGTGCACGGCTTCTTTATACCCTTGGTGTTTAGTCGGGGTGGGGGCTGATAACTGTGCATCCCAGCACGGCTGGATTGAATACCTTTTGTGACCTCCGCTAGCTTGGGCAATAAGATATTGAAGTGAGATTATAAGCAATTTGATCTAAAAGTCGCTACTAGCGCTGTTCTAACCTGAGCAATAGCTCCGAGGGTGTACGGAATCTATGTAAGCGCGGCTGACCGGGGGCTGTTCAAGAATACCACGTAATTGGGAGGACTAGCAACCAATACATTGGGATTAGTATATACTCCGTTACATTGAAAATACGTGTTTTGCATCGCTAGCGCAGGCTAATGCAAGCTCACTTGTGTTGGCTTCTGCAGGATGCCCACCTTCTCGGCGGCCCCGCCCTCCAGCATGTCCTCCTTGAAGAAACCAATATCCAGCACTTGTTCACAATGATTAAATGAGAACTTAAGGGGAAGATTAGAACATTTTGTTTCCTAATTAGCTACTGTTGTAATGCTATCTTTGCTCATCCGTTGTCCATAATGACGTCCACTTTGTCGGCCGAGGAGATGGCAAGTATTCCGGCTGGAACACCTCCGCCGGGCGTTGAGTCAAACCTCGTGGATCCTCCGTCCAATGGATACATTCTGTATATCGTGGGAGGCATTGTGATGGGATTAATGTATATTACTGCCGGTCTGAGTCTATACGCGAAACTTAGTATTCGAAGACGAATGGCGCCCGATGACTGTGAGTGAGGCCTGGATGAGGTATTGGCATTCTTGAGATCATCGCTGACAAGGGCCTCTCTAGGGACACGATTGATTGCTACAGTCTGTAGTCTGTCCCACCACATATCCGTTCACGTCTAACCATACATTTGGCCAATAGATAGGAGCGACATTCTACTTCATTATCTGTATACTCGGTACGATACTGTACCCTACACAGGTCTCATATCATGGATCTAACTCTCGTTTAGCGGTAGCAAAGGGCAAATACGGTACTCATATGTATGATCTCTCGGTGATTCAGGCGATGAGTGATGCCTTTATAATCGTATGGTCCCTTGGGATGCGAATATAACCATTCAAATAAAGAGTAGAGCTAACTGCAATCCTGGCCAGACCGGATATTTTGCCAATTGGGTGACGACAATAGTTTGGCCCTTTGCAAAAACATCGTTCTTCCTCATCTATCTCGAAATGTTCCGCACAATCAAGTGGCAACGCTATGCTATCTACTTTGGCCTTTTCGTGAACTGGGCTTTCTATACTATCATCCTTATCGCCACGCTCTACTACACTAGCCCAGCGCCCGGCCAGACGTGGGCGGAGGGATTTGTTTCCACACGATACTCGAAAATTCTTAAATGGACCGTTCCCATTGCATCAGGCAGTCTTATCATTGACCTTTATATTCTGATCCTGCCGATGGCCCCAATTTGGAACCTCCAAATGGATTTCAAGAAACGACTCGGCGTGATGGTGGTTTTTGGTACGGGGTTGTTGTATGTGATTTCGACTCCCGCCTTGAATGAAGTGCTAATGAGTGACGTATAGGGCCTGTGTCGCTTCTTCCCTCAGTATCTACTTCAAAAATATTCTGGATCATCACACAGACGACTTCAGCTACTACACCCTTCCTGTCTTGATCATGTGCTTGGTTGAGATGTGCGTCGGGATATCGGCCAGCTCGATGCCATCATTGACGCTTTTGGTTCGCCACAAGGGGACCAAGCTCACTCAACTCGTCAGCATCTTCACTCGCTCTCGATCATCTACAGGTGGAGGGAAAGGATTATCTGGTTCGGATGACTATGCGAAGGATTCGGATTGTTTGCCATTGAAAGATGTTCAGTCTCCCACTAAGAAGCAATCAACCCCAATGGACCAGGTGAGTGATGACGGGTACGAGCACTATGAAGGCCAGACCGTTCAAACGATGATTCAGGCGAGTTCCTCCACTGGACCAGCTGGCCAAGATCGAATCTACATGCATCGTGGCTTTGATATAGGATACGAATACCGAGGGAAGCGAATGACTGGCGATAGTCCGGTATAGATCAGTTGGGTTATTATGGGGTATTTTCATGAAATAGGTTACTTAATTTCCATCCTAAGGTATGAACCACTGAAATCTTTAATGCAACTCTTTAAATACGGAAATGGCCATTTCACCTAGTAGAGCCCCTTGTCACGTAATCAAGATGGCGGATGTGAATCACACTGCATCGGTATTTAGCCGGTTTTTGCAAAGATCATGTACCATGGTGGACCAGGCACGTTACAGAATGTTTAATTTATCCTGGTTACCTTCAAGTGGATACTATCTATTGCTATACACCAGTGTGACTGAAATGTCTGTCCGTTGAATTGCCGTGGGAATGTGCCTAATCAAACTGGGCCCGTCACACTAGCCCCCCCCCCCCCCCCTAGCGTGGGCGCTTGGAGGACTTCTTTGTTGCCTAAACTTTTGGCCCCATCGTTGCATGCAGCACTGTTGGTCGTTATCTCCCGTCGATGTGTGCGTGTTGTGGTCCCCGGGAGAAAGGTCCGTCAAATCATGTCCTTGATCACCACATTTCCACTTTGGGGCGGGCCGAACCCTCCCAGAATGGCCGGGCCGGAAGATCGGCCCCTCCTTCTTCCGTACCCTAAATATATGTGGGTTTTCATTCGTACAGGACCTGTGAATTGAACTTATCAAGAACAAAGAGAACCTTGAAATTGTCTCCGGTCATGCGGCACACCGGGAGCCCACTCTAGGCTGATATTTGAGGGGTAATTCCATAATTTCTTATAAGCCCAGTGGGGTTACTCTCCGGGGTCTACGCTCCTCGTAATACACGGTAGTAAACAACTAAGCAGCCGTGCCACCACCAGACCAGGCTTAGCACGCCCTGTCACTGTCAGTCAACCAGTCAGCTGTCGGTGATCAACAAGGATCAAGAAGATACAACGGCCCCCACGAAGCCTTTGAGCACGGGCTCCTGCGAGGGGATAATGAAAGCATCCGCATCAACGTACTAGAGTGGCCAATTTAAAATGCGCGGACTTTGTGCTGTTTCTCCTCCTTTCTCCCAAACCCTCAATATCGCAAAAGCACACAACCAACAGACAAATATCGCGTCATTCCAAGAACCCCGCAAACATGGCCCCCAAATCGGTTTTGATTACCGGATGTAGCGACGATGGAATCGGCTCTGGTCTGGCACTCACTTTCCAAAAACAAGGTTATCAGGTCTTCGCGACTGCCCGAAATCTGGACAGAATGGCTAAGCTGAGTGGCGTGTCGAATGTCACCCTGCTGCCACTAGACGTGACCGAGCCAAGCCAGATTGAAGCGGCTGTAACGGCGGTTGAGGCTCAGACAGGCGGAACCTTAGACGTTTTAGTCAATAACGCCGGTCGCAATCACTTCATGCCTTACTTGGACGAAGACGTGGAGCAAGTCAAGGCCCTCTATGATATCAATGTCTGGGGGCCACTGCGTGTGACCAAGGCCTTTGTCCCATTGTTGATCAAAGCGCAAGGCTCAATCGCTTTCATCACATCGATCTCCGGCTATTTGAACGTTCCTTTCATGGGTTAGTCTTTCTTTTTCTTTTTCTTTTCTTTTTTTTTCTTTTATTCTTTTTCTTTTTGTTTTCTTGGTGCTTGGCATGTATGGATCAACATTCATTAATGGGGACTGTCGGATTTAGGAACCTATGCCGGCTCGAAACGAGCACTGGAGCTCATGGCTGACACGCTTCGGCTGGAGTTGATCCCGTTTCATGTCAAGGTTCTATGCATCCCGACTGGTGCGGTTCGCACTCAAGGGCAGACCTATTTTGGAGATTTTAAGTTACCCGATAATTCTCTGTATAAACCAATTGAAGAAACAATTGCCGCACGAGCACAGGGCCAGGATGGTACCGAGCGAATGCCCTTGATGGACTACAGCAGTCAGGTTGTTGCCCAGATCGAAAATGGTGCGGCGGGCCGCTTTTGGTGTGGGGCCAACGCCGAGAGGACGAAGGCTACCATTAGTGGTGATTCCAGTGACATGATGGTTAGTGCTGTTTTTCTTTTTTCGTTTTTTTCTTTCGTTGGAAAATGGGGTGTAACAAGACACTAATGCATGCATTTATGCAGGACGACATCTTCGTCAAAATCACTCGGCTGGATACGTTGAGATAGACTTGCTTCATTTGGGGCTTGCTGTCAATCGGAGAACTTCCGTGGAGGAATAGATTAGTATCAATAGGTAGCAATCAATCAACTATGTAACCATGGCTTACTGGTCATACCCGAAATCCAGTCGACTGTGTGGACAGCAGGCCACGTCTGATTACAATGCTTCCTACCGTCTATAGTCATCGGCCATCTCATTACATGCAGATCCCGTTTCGCTGAGGCATGCACCAACAGTGGTAATATCATTATTGGTTTCTGATTAGCTGAAATCCCAAGGCCGTCATATGCAGCGATTCGGGGGCACTAGAGAGGTAGCTAATGTATTGATGGCCAACTACAAGATTGGCGCTTTCTGCTTCTGGCTGTTGAACATGTCCTGGATATATTAAATATTGCATCCTCTTTCAAATATGCAAGTCATACTCAAGCAAACATGATTTCCGAAATCCTACCTTCGTGGTTTCCAATAGCGGCGTCTATCCTACTTGTCCTAGTGGAAGTCTTTTTTCTGCTTAAGGTCCTCTCTATTACCTGTGCTTTTTTTAATGCAATTCCCGGACCATCTAAGCTAACTATCTATTGTAGGATACCGTCAAATCTGTGAAGACCAATCAAAGATGTGCCTCAGCCCTACTGAGGACTCTTCACGACTTTGTGAGCCTTTCCACTCTCTTGAAGGAATCAAGCGACTGATCGCATACGTAGTCAAATGGAAAATACTACAATCCATGGGGAGCCCAGCCAATTGTTATTGAGCCTACGGCAAAAAAGATGACTGAGCTGAGCGATACGCCTTTGCTGTCCCAGCGGGCCGTGTATGCGGATGTATGGACATCCCCAATAAATTTCCACCGGTAGAGCTAACATCGTCCAGTTGTTTGGATTTAAGAGCACTCTAAGCAATTTCAATCACAATGAAATAAATTCTAGCCGATCCCGACTCTTTGGATTGATCCTCAGTGTTAGAGGAGGGGGGCATCTACGCAATCTCTCCGCTTTGCTGCAGAGGCGAGCGCAGAAATTCTTAGACAACGAGCTAAGTCAACGACCAATTCACTCCAGCGGTAATTAAAGCACATCTATTTGGGGGTCTGAAATCTGTCCTGATGCTTTACAGAGCCCATTCATGTTGGGCTGGCAGAAACATGCAAATTGTTTAATTCTCGGCTGATGGCAGTAATATTCTTTGGCGAGAAACTAGGTACGAATAGTGCCAAGTACATGCTAAAAGATACCTAACAACTCTTTCATAATAGCCTCAGATCCGGAATTCGCAGCGGCCCTCTTCCAGCATCCTCTACAGACTGTTACCTGCATGAGCCTTTTCCAAATAACTCCTTCGTTTCTCTCCCCGTGGGTATTAACTGCATCGCCCTGCTTAGACTGAATACTAACCGGGATGTCCATGATAGGTTGATTCATGCCATTGTAACGAAACGTGGACAAGCAATGAAGCTTATACAATCCAAAATGATTCCAATCATACAGAAGGGAGTGAAGGATTGGGATGAGCACTCAAGCAAGGAAGATGTCAGAACCCACTCCAAGTTCCGGCGCACCGCCAGCTCAGCTGACCTTAGTCTTCCAGACCATCCTCTACAGCATGATGACAGAAACAGAGGACAAAAGAGCCTACTGGACTCCCGAAGCGCTTTGCCAAGCCATAATGGGTCTTTGGTTCGCTGCCTCACATCAGCCCTGGGTTAACCTGTATATTTTCATTTACCAGCTTTGCTGCCATCCCGAATGGCAGGTCATCCTCCGCGAGGAACTCAGAACAATTGAAAATAGGATGGATATTGATAGCATTAGCAGTCTGCCTCTTCTAGATAGCTTCATGCGCGAGTGTGCGAGAGTCTACTGTCTTGACAAGCGTATGCACTGGCCCACCCAGACCTCAGTTACCCAACCACACTAACCGAGCACACGACTATGTCTACAGTTGCTATCCGCCGAAAGGCCATGCAGGATTATACCTTTGCCTACGATAACACTACGGTACCAGCAGGAGCTACTGTCTGCGTCTCTAACTGGAACGTGACCCGTGACGCCAGTACATACCCAAATCCCGATAGCTTCGATGGAGCTCGCTTTGTGAACGGGAAATCCTATGACCGAACTAAAATGTTCGCGGATGTATCAGAGAAGCATCTGATCTGGGGCTACGGATCGCTCGCTTGGTAAGAGTCTCTTTTTGTGACATTTGGTATGAAGACTTCATTAACTAACTTAATTTTCGGGCTTTGTAGCCCGGGCCGACTTCACGCAACATATGTTATGAAATTGATGATTGCGTCTTTTATTACTCGATGGGATATTAAGCTCGAGAGGGAGGACATGCGTAGTCACTGGATGTATGAATCATTTAGTATGCCTTACCAGTCTACAGCTGTCATCCTGCAGCCTCGATCAAATCCAATCGCTGTATAGTTTAGCCATCCCGGAAAGGATCAGATGGGACTTGGAAGCTCCCGAGGTTGGTAACGAAGCATAGTCTAGAATTTACAAATGTCGCAAATGTGTGAATCAAGTTCATTTTGACTTATTTCGCTACCTGCTATACATTTTGTAGGCCTTAGCTCGCATGGAGTAGCGATATTGGTAAAGTCCGGCCAGGCCGGCCCCCAAAAGCAAACAGTCAGGGCTCGCGGCTCTACCTGTACATTCTAGGGATGAGAAACGTTTAGACATTTTGCCCAAATACTAAAATGCTCGGTAATGCAAAATCTTATTGGTTAATTTATTTATGTATTATCATTATTTAATGTTTTCTGTTCTTCTTTTTTCTTTTTCTTTTTCTTTTTTTTTTTTTTTTGA